GAATTTGCCCAACATTTTTATACAGAGAGCGGCGGATGGCAAACTTTGCCTCCTTGCAGTAGAGTTGAATCAACTAATATATAATTATTTATTTATTTATTTATTTATTCTTTATTTATTCCTTTATTTATTCTTGATTCCTCTTACTATTATTTGATTATATTATTTGACTCTTATAGAAGAAGAAAAAGAAAAAAAAGAAGAAAAAGAAAAGGGGTGATGATGTTCTGCTGTTTTTTACTTGGCTTATTCTTTTGCTTCTTTTTTCTTCTTTTTCTTTTTTGTTTTTTCTTTTTGTTTATTTCTTCTTTTTGCTTCATTCTTCTTCCTTTTGTTTATTTCTTCTTTTTGTTTCTTTGAAGAATCGAGGCAACAAAGAAGAACCTTATTAAGCCTCGAAGAAATAAAAGGCAAAGGGATTAACAGCAGCAGCAGCCATTCTTTCTTCCTTTCATTCCTTTTCTTCTTTTCCCTCTTTTTCTTCTTCTTTTCCTTCTTATTCCGTTTATTTTGTTTTTTGTGTAGAAAAAGAAAAGAAAGACGGAAGGATTGCTGTGGTGTATGTGGACCTGTACGTACACCCGGCGGACATGAGTGAATATTTGGGCCTCCTCTTCTCTCCGTCATTTCTTTTCTTTCTTTCTTTATTATTATAATTATAATTAATAATTATAATTATAGTAATTATAATTATGATATTTCTTGTCGAGTGCGGCATTTCTGTTGACTTCTGTACACTTTGTTTTGCATCGCTTATTATGTCTGCATGCAATGCATGCAGTTGCAGCAGCACTTCCTCCCCCCCTTAATCCCTATAAGGGAAGAAAACCCCTCACACATATAAATTGCAGGAGGTGTAACTATGCTGCTAATAACATCTGTTGATGATGTTCTTATTTATTTATTTATTATTTATTTATTAAACAAGCAAACAGCCCGACGCCCATAAGTTGGCGACGCAGTGCTTTTATGTACGTACACTAGAAATAATTATAAACAAATGAGAGAATTTCCTCTTGACGAAATTTAAATAAATAAATTCAACTTCTCCTCTGCCGCACTCCATCATCTCCTTTCTCTCTTGTTAAGAGGAGTCAGGGAATGATTTGTAAGAGTTGCTGGTAATAAGAGGAAAGAAGGAACCTAAGGAACAAAGAACCCCCAAAGGTTCCTCCTTTATAGTTGAATATAATGATTTCTTTATCATTATTCTTTATAGATACTCTCTATATGTATATACTATTTATTCATTAGTATTATTCAGTGCTGCACTGTATAGAGAAAGTCTATAGTATCTGTATGTATGGTGCCACTAGCTAAGTCGTTTACGCGTTGAGTTCGTCTAAAATTGCCGTTAACAAGCCTTTTAAAAGCAACAAAAAGAATTCAAATAAATTCACACTTTTTATTTTTCTTTTGCTTTCTTCGTGCAACATCGATTTGTTGACGAAGCAATCAGTCCATTGGCGTCAGCCATTGGTGACGGTCGTACATGAGACCCCTCTTATTTACGTACACACACTAAGAAAAGGTGATTATTTGGAGGTTTTTATGTACAAAGAATAAATATAAATGCTTATTTGCCAATAAATTTATTTCTTATTTCCAGTTACGGTGTATGCGCATACACCCCAGCTGATGGTCTGTTCGGCCGCTTTCGCTTACCTCGAGGATCCGCGACGACAGGTTGCCATTTCCCCTCCTTTTTTGTGTCAATTTGTTTAGAATGAAAGGCCTTTTTCAAATTATTTAAAGTCGTGATGTTTGCTGATCTGAATAGCGGCAATTAAAGTCGAGAGGTTTCCACCGACTCCTTCGCCGCCGTTTCTTGTTCCCTCCCTCGCTCACACACGCACGTCTTGATCTCGCGGGGCAGAGGATATTTTTCTTGTGTTTCTTTGAATTAAAAACTCTAAAGAACTTCTTTTAGTTTTCTTCTTTTGTACCTTTAAGAGCAACAACAACAACAACAACCGTCTAGCGGCGACTGCTGCTGCCGCATCGTTTTCTATACCATTATATATATACGCCGCCGAAGGTCACAGAGGCAAAGTATACCATTGAGCAGCAGCAGTCCCTCATGATATACAAACTGCAATAATAGGAGAATAATTCAACTTTATTAAATAAAAGCGTTTGAACTCTTTAATTCAAGTCGTCATAGAGTTGGGCATCATTCAATCTTATCCGCTTTGCAGCTTTTGCTTTTTCTTCATCATCTTCTCGCTGTCGCCTCGATATATCCGCAATGACTACTTCAACAGGTCCTACTGGTTGTTCTTCTTCTTCCTCTTCTTCTTCTACAGATAAGAAAGAAGAGGAAAAGGATATTCAATATGCAAAGAACATAAAAACGGCTGCGTCTCCTCATATGGGCAAACCAAAGGAAGTAGTAAGAGGAGTTCTCCCTGCAGAGTTTGTCGATACACCCCGTACTCTTAAGTTACCACCATCTATTAATGCTGCTGTCCCTCCTCTACAGTTCTCTTCTTCTTCTTTCTATCATCAATCCTTCTCTGCAACCCTCCCTACAACCTTACCTGCTGCTGGAGGTGCTGCTGCTGCGAAGGGTACAAGCAGCAGCAGCAGCAGCGTATTTGTGAGCAACAGCATACCCTATTCAGCAGCAATCCCTACTCCTGTGGTAACAACATCTCGGGTGTCTGCTGAGCCCCCTACACACCTCATATCTCCTCGTTTTATAGGACAGCATTCTTCCCAATATCCTATAAAATGGGGTGTATCTACACCTCCTACATCTTCTTCTTCTCTTCCTGTTCTTCTCCCTAGTCCTCGATTAACAACAGGAGGTATACCTACTAGTTTACCTGCTGCTGCTCCTGCAGCATATACTGCTGCTTCTCCTGCTGCATATACTGCTGCTGCTCCTGCTGCTGCTGCTCCTCATCCACCTACTACTTACTCTCCTACTATTACAAGAGTAATAGAGGGAGGCACAAACCCTAATTGCCCCTTCCAGACGCACAGCACACTTCCTTCTACTACATATAGATACCGTATTATTGACGGGCCTTCTATTGAGCAGCAGCTGCAGCTGCAGCAGCAGCCGCACAGAATAGGAAGAGTTTATACAGCATCTCCTCTCTTACCCATGAGGGAAATGTCTAAATGCACAGAATATCATGGCAAACAAAGATATACAATTCAACCAGGAGTCACAACAGTAAACCCTAAACCCTCAAACCCTAAACCCTAAGCCCTAAACCCTATAAAAATGTCCCATACCCTATAAACTCAAAACATGAAACCCCAGACCCTGTCAACCCTAAACCCTAAACCCTAAACCCCCAAGTGTGTTCCCCATATGCAGCAGTTGATTAGAGTGTATATGCATAAATCTATCTGCAATGTTTCCTATACCTCCCTCTTTGTATGAAGAATGGAGGTTTTTTTCCTAGTGTTTGCTTTCTTCTTTGTTTGTTTGTATGCGTGTGTGTATGTGTGTGTGTGTGTGTGTGTGTGTGTTTGTGTTATTTATTCAGTATGTACTGCCTGGATCATCACGTAGTACTCGTCGTCGTGGTGTAGTAGTTGGTCGTCGTCGTAGTGTATGTGAAGATTTGGTGTTACCGTGTCTAGACACCTTTATAGCTGCATTAAGCAAGTTATGTAATTGTTCACAAGAATTTATTCCTTCTACATCTGAATATCCTCAATCAAATAATCCTCTTATGATGTATCAACAACAGACTCATCCTACAGGAGATGCCGTCTGTCTACGTTGCGGCGCTATTGTTGACTCAAGGGCAATAGGTAACTGGGGGGGGGGCCCAACAGGACCCTCTTTTATTGGGGGGACCTCTTCATACTTATCAGCAGGGCAAACGCAAACAAAACCAGATAAAGACGGAAGAATACCCTTACCTGTCTTTCCTTATTCGAACCCTGTACCACAGCTGGAGGTTCGTTTATATATAAGGATATCTAAAATACTATACTAAATGTTGTTCATACGGTAGCAGCTTATGGTGCTCCTGCCTCCTTGTTGCTGTTGGTACATTTGGCAATTGTTGTTGGCGTTTATCTTCCCTCTTGTTTCCCGTTAAACAACTTTTCGCTGATGGGAGCAGACGACAGTAGGTGCCTTTATTTGTTGTACTTATTTGTTGATTCATTCTCATTAATTTTATTCTTTTTTTGTATATATATTGTCTGTCTTGTCTGGCGTATGCATCATATGCAGTTTACTTTTCTCGTATAAACACCACACATTATTACTGTTTCCTCTGAATACTTGTCTATTATGTGTGATATGCATGAGTTCGTACAGAGAAAAAGGAAGGAAGAGAAGAGAGGAGGAGAAGATGCGGCAAGTCGAACGGCGCGAATTGGCCGTCTTAGGAGTTCGGCCCTGGGGTATCCAACAGACGACGAAGGATTAGTCGCTCTTCCTGCCTTTACATTGGCAGAAGCAAAATAATTCATCAATAAAATAAAATAACCATACAACATCATCACCACACCACAACGCAACACTATGTGACGTAACGCAACGCTGTGCAAGGAGGCACTGCTATGCGGTACGCTGCTGTGCTGCTCGTTTATACGTATCATCTCTATAAACAGTTTGGCACACAATGTGTTGTTTATCTTGTTCATGTGCATGTTGACGCCTTCTAGTTAGTCTCGAGATAGATGCACAGAAATATGGCCAAAAAGAACCAACAGGAACAGCGGGCTTTTGACACTCTGGTAGAAACTGACTGAATCGAAAGTGGGAGTTGATTCATTATACTGGGATGGAGGACTCCTCCATCATCTAATAGAGTAGATAACAATTAGTACATAACTGTCGATAACAATGTAATTGGGCACAGCCACCAGGCACAACAAGGGAGTGGTGCAGAGAAGCAGACGAAGGACTAGTAATTAATTATTATTTGTTGTTGAAGCTGAGAAAGTGCTTGGTTTGTACAGATAAAAAACAAACAGGTTTAGTTCCTGGCAGTGCAACTTTTCTTCCCCCTCTGCTTTTCGGTTTAAGGGATCTCTATACTCCCCATGAGGGCTTCATCGACGAGAACAACAATATGCAGAAAGAGATCTAGCTGAGGGGCGGTGGCAGCTAGCCAGAAGAGAGGGGTTTGCAGGAGCGGCTGAATGCCGTGAACGATGACACAACATGACCGCCTGCCTATATCACATCCGGGCTCTTCAATTACCTGCTGCTTCTTGCGGAGCTGTTCCTCCAGCGGATCGCAGTTGTCTCCCGCTGCTACTGATGCTGCTGCTGCTGGGGATGCCGTCTGCTGTGAGCTGCTGCGCGTCACCTTGGGAAACAGCTGCGGCAACACGTAGTGGACGAGGTCGCCCAGTGTGGAGAGAGCCCCTGTCTCAGAAGCGGTGTTGGGGCCTCGAGGGTAACGGGGTGCAGCAGCAGCAGCACAGGATGGAGCATCATGAACAGATGAAGCTGTTCCCTCCTGCCCGCTGCTGAGGCTGGAACTGCTTCCGCTGGGTGCGAACGGGTTGCCGACGTCGTCGAGGGTGTTTGCTGGAGTAGAGAATCTGTGGGTTTGGAAGCAAGGGAAGCTCAGAGAAAGTTCAAAGCACGGAGGCCCACAAATATACATCCTCACAGGAATGCGTCGAAAATGTTTGGGTGACATAGGCGGCAGTAACTGACTGCAACCGTCGAGAAATTCGGCAATCGCTCCCGTACGGGAAGCGGTAAGAAGTTGCATTTCAGCGGCTTTCGGAAGTCGCTGGAAAGGCACTGCAGAACCGTTGATAATGTACGTCGCCTGTTTAAGGGAATTGATGAAGAAACTCTCAAAACCCGCCCAGCCAACGAACCCGGGGGAAGAAAACACCTTGTTGGAACCCCCGCTGAGGTAGCTAGAGGCAGAGCCATGGAAGTGAATCGTCAAACACCAGGGTAGTTGCACGTCACACCCACACGCCGCAAGTTCACGAAAACCCGCATCTACTGCAGAGCCATCTTCAACAGAAGCAGCCAGCCGCTTTTTGATCCCTCCCTTCATAGCACTCAATATATCGAATGCAACGCCAATCGGCAGCCGCCAGTCAATCGGTATTCCGCCAAAGTCGAAGAATGGCGATGCTGGCTGGCCAAAGGACGGCTGGATGTACGGCTTGAAGTGCTCGTGGCACTTGTCTATAAGTGTCGGCAAGTACGAAACTCGCGGAACAAATATGTAAAGAGGAGCCGGAGGCTTTATCGCCACCACCTCTGACGACTCCAAGAAAATGCAAAGCGGCAAGCCACTCTGCATGAGCCGAAGCCGCTCTGACGCGTCGAATTCCAAGCCATTTGCCTGGACATCTCTGTCTGTTGAACCTGAGGCCGCCTCATGCAGCGAAGCCTGCATCATGAACTGGGTTTGTGCCACAAAGCAAATACAACCCTCAGTTCCAGCAAGTATCAATTGCTGATCTCAGCAACTATAAATGCAAAAAAAGGCGCGGTCTTATGGTCGCCCAATCGTCACTCCGCCGCCGGCCTGAAAAGCCCCATCACTACCTTGTGGCATGCCCTTCTGCAGCCTGTTGCAAGTCCAGATTCTCTCCGCAGCACAGTTGTCAGGGCGTGTGCTAATGGCTTTGACAGGGCTTAGCGGATGAACTAAATTCCAACGGGGCGCCGTATGATTCATAAAAATCACGGAGAATGCCTCCGTATGCTCTCCAGGCCACCAAGATAAGTAAAACAAGCAGTAATAGAAGCAGCAGAGAGACCTGCAGGCAAAATATCTGCGCAAGAGATTACACAGGAAACAACTGCCCCTTCATGTGATGCCGTTCATATGTCGTTTGCAGTGGTTCGTGCGAACTTCACTCATATAACCCTAGCTCTACACAGTTCAGTAATGGAGTTGCGTTCAGTTACGGTGCTATAAATGTTGATGAGCACTTATGGAAGGCCTAAATTTCAAGATTCATCTCGTGGTTAAACATACCACACCACCAGGGTCTGTTTCCTTCGGTGTCGAGAGTTCAAGCAAACGCTGGACTTGAGTGGCCGCGTCATCTGAAGAGTCAATCCCGTCCGGGATTAAGATATATGAGTGCCCCATAATGGTTGCATCGTTGTCTTAATATGCAAATTAGCTCAAAAGACAACTATTCATAGATGAATTGACTGGCGCGTATGCGCCAAAGAGCGTGCATGTGGAAACGGAAGCCGCTCAGGCGGAAGGCCTGAAAGGCTTCCAAACAGCCCCAATTTTCAGTGCCATGAAAAACCCATACGATATTGTACTCTTGTCAGTGGAGACGATGCAAGTTGAGAATAACCTGCCATCTCACAAACGCCTATTTGTACGCCAGCCGAAGCTTCGGTGTCGCCTAGGGGGGTGGGTGGCAAGTGAGACTGGCAATTCCATAAGCGTAGGAGATGGCTCGAGAATCCCTGTTTCTGGGACACTGAAGCATAATTCTACTCTACTGCGGGTAATTGAATGTGTGGAATAATGTTCACCGCCGGCGTTGTGCGTGTAGCCTCAGCATAGCTCTGCTGCACCTGGGCGATGCTGGGACTTCCCATTATGAAGTCCAAAGTCGTGGCTCCTTGATGGGGAGGGAAGCGGGTTTGTTTGGGCAACGGATATTTGTTCACACAGCTTCCGCGTATTTCTTTAGAATTGGTGGTCTCATGCATGGATCCCGGAGTAGAAGGCGGAAATCAAGTGACGGAAGCACCATTGGCCATGATGTATTTTCAGGCACTTCGTTTGATGTTGGGGTGTTGTCTACTTCCATTTTCGTTCGTGACGGGGTTCACCTTGGCAAAAGTCCTTTCTATACGAAGACTTTGTCGAGTGTTGAAGGCAGCATATACAGTTTGTGTCATTGCGTTCCAAGTGTTCCTGTTCAAGGTATCAGAACCTCATTTCTTGCTGGGAGTACTATTTGCATTTCTGGGCTACCGCTGTCTTGTTCCTGGTCTGACTGGAGGCCTGGGAACTGGTAAAAGTTCCGTCTCCGGCTTCTTAAAATCTCACGGATGGAGGGTAGTTGACGCTGATGAAATTTCACGGGGCATTTTGAAGCGAGGGTCACCAGCTTTTCGTCAAGTTGTGAAAGCATTTGGAGATTGTGTAGTTGACAAGGCATCGGGAGAAATTGATAGGACTCGTTTGCGTCATCTCATTTTCCAGGATCCAGCCAAACGACGTTTGCTAAACAGATTGACACATCCATGGATAATTGGGACCATCCTCTGGCGAATTTTTAGGTTCCGAATCTGTCTGTGGGCACAACGCGTTGTCATTGACGTTCCTCTCTTATTTGAGACAAAACTTAATCTCCTTTGTGGCCCAGTTGTTGTGGTCTTCACAGCAGAAGATTTGCAACTGCGACGACTTCTTTTACGGGATCAGACTTCGTCTGAGGAGTTACTGCGTTCCATGATAAAAAGTCAACTTCCACTAAAGGACAAAGTGTCACTAGCGGACATTGTACTAGACAATAATTCAACTTTGGACCATCTATTTCGGCAAGTCAAACAACATTTTCCATGCTAATTTGGAATTTTGGCTCAATGTATGTTCAAAAAGAGAATTCGCCGTTCCCTCCCAAGTTGTCCAAACGTGGGACCCGCATTATGCGCACCCCTGTAAAAGCTTTAGTGACGAAGGAAAGATAAGACCACGTGATAGATCTCACCATGGGCAGGGGGAGACCAAGGAATACACGAACAAGGGTGAGGGCGATGACACCAAGACATATCGTGCGTGTTCCATCCTTGACCAGACCAAACCAGCTGCAAGAAAGTGCCGTTGTTTGCACTCAATGGTGAAAAACAGAGTACTACCGCGCCCTTACTGAGGGAGATCCCTGATATTCTTGTTCAATTCGCAGGTGACTGCAACTCCGCAGACGAAGCCTCCCAGATGGCCCCATATATCAACTGTAATCACAGTGGCTTTGAATTCGACACTCCATTTGCAGTGAGACGAAAAATCGTTTTACCAGTTTGCCCATAGGACAGCAGAATCATCAGAGCTCCAAAGATGGTGATGTCGAGTGTGTACATATTCCGCGTACGCTCGTCGAGCTTATGCCACACCATCAGGATCTCAGCAAGAATGGAGCCAACGAGACCTAAGCGACAGTTTGTTGCGAATGCTCTTCTTCAGCGGAAAGAACAACGTCGACATACCGAACCCTGCAGTACTTGCACCGACAGCCTAACAAAGCAGATGAGAAGGATCCCATAGCAAACTGTTTCTTTAGGTTGCATACCAAGGAGCAGGGGCGCATTAAGACGGTGAACATGTTCCCAATCAAAGCTGAAAAACGAGTGCTGTTCCATGCTTTCTTTGGAACAAAATGTTATTTTCCTACCGGAGGAAAAGTAGAGCATGAGGAAATTTGATCTTCCGTATTTAATTTCTTTGTCAAGTCCCATATGCTGAGGAAGATTGTGTTTGTTGCATATGAGCTTGCTGTACAACAGTTTCAATAAGGCTAACCAGAATGAAGAGGATGTTAAATAGCAAATGCACAATGCCGACGTGGAGGAACACGGGCATTATTAGCCTCCATGCTTGGAAGTGCCTGAAATGATTTAATAATACTCTCGTTTGTTAGTTGGCACAGTATAGAGGCCTCTGCTTACCTAATTGCAGGCCCGTAAGTGGCTCCTAGTTGGTATAGCACGCGTTCCGTCGGCTGCGGGAGGCAGTGTTGATGGTGTTTCCCCGGCTTATTTCAGCATATTCTCACCTCAAAGGCCGAGGACATAGCACATGAGAGAACGTATACTCCAAGTTGAATCAACGTTATCAAGACAATCGACCTGTAATAGATGTTGGTGGAGGTTATGTTTCATGACTGGCTAAGAAGTTGGTAGACTTGCTTGTCCAATGAAATATTTGGGAAGGCTGTACAAAATTGCATTAGGTCGTATCGAAACTATTGAAGCGGGTGTCCACTTACCGACGTCAATCAGTCTGCCAGTCCTCGGGATTCCAGCCCCGAGGACTCTCTGTGACTCGATATCGGACATTTTGGGGCCTTCCTGTGTTGAAGTACTAACGGAAGGAAGCAAAGTGTCCCAGAAATTATAGACAGAATCGACTAAATGTGATAAAATGATGAGCGCTTGACTTGCTTGTCTGTGATCACACGCTGCGCTGCATGTACACCCGAACACCAGCTGTCGGATCTGCGCGTCACAACAGTTTTTTTTTCGTTGTTTCTGCGTGTGTTTTCTGATTTCAACAGCCACATTTTTCTATTTTGCTGGAATAGTCTTTAAATTGCCACTTTCCCCCCCGTGAGTCTAGTATACGCCGTCGTTGACTGGTATTGAACCTCTCCTGCACGCGCCGGCCGTCAAACGGTTCCGGTGCTGCAATCTTCAGCAGATTCGTCCAAATCTCTAGTATGGTAGTTTTTCCACCACCAACGGTTTTGCCACTGAAAATCCTGTGCGCACCCTAAGAGAACATGATCGCCCGAGCGTGTCTAGAGCGCCAACTCCATCGTCTTCGTGGAATAACTGGCGGTGTTCCTGCTGGAAGTGGAAAAATAGCTGTACAAACGCGCTTCAATTCATCTTTGTCTGCCCCTGAAACTTTGCCGGAGACCGCCAATGAAGAGGACAACCCAACTCTCGGGAGACGCACTCGTCAAGAGTACTGGTTTAGCCCCGAACTCAGGTCCCCGAGTATAGAGGTCCGCAATCCCCATGCCGAATATTAGAAAGTGCATGTATAGTTTTATCCTCCCAGAAGTTCTTTGTGCAGCAGTAGTGAAGAGAGACGACTCGTGGTGTGAAGGCAGTCGCTTCTAATTCGTAGCCAACGTACCTGCGGTTGCGGCAATTCCACTTCCAAGTGTTCTTGAACTTATGTGTTGAAGGATGCATGGTTTTCTCAGCTTCCATCCGGGAAGAAATGCTTTGTCTTCAACGCAAAGAGAGATCAAGATGGAGAGCTAGAACCAGTTCTGTGCTTCGTTGATAGGTCAGCGGCGTGTTGTAGCATGCAACATACATCATCGTTTAAGTGTGAAATGTCGGAACGAAGAAGCCGCGTTTCCTCCGTCTCTGTGGTGCAACGTGTGGCACAGGCACGGCAGGCGTCTAATGTGGATGGATGAGGAAGAACTTAATGAATTTGAGAGACTCGTCAGCGATGAGCTCGGCGCAACAATCTAAGCAGTTATAGCTAGCTTCGCACAGCAAGCGAATGCGAAATCGGTGGTATGGGCAACATGTGCATGTGCGGCTGCCTGGATTTTGCAGATACCTCGTCTCGAAGAGTACTTTAAGTTATGCTCAAAGGACGAACACTTCGGGCAGGACCCAAAGGCCTCAAACGATTGAACATACGGAACTAAATTTATTGCTCACGCTCATTCGGCGCTGTGTTACACTGGAGTCCTATACAAGCGCTTCCGAACATTTCAGAATTCACTTCTCCCACAACAAAGGCGTATCCTGGCGCCTTTGAAGTAGCGAGATACTGTGGCTAGATAGTGGGCTATTGGCCCATTACCCATGTGCAGCTAGCGAACTTGCCCCTTCAACGTGATTAGGGCACTTATCTAGTGGTAAAGCATATTCTGCCACGTGCAACTGACTCGTCTCCGGTTTGCAGTAGACATAAGGAGGCCGCAAACCAGGAGCATGTACTTATGGCCCGCAGGGCACTGCCAAAGCAGCACATGCCAGTCCTTTGCGTGTGGCCCCGCCAAGTATGCGGCCACACCATTTCATATTCTAGCCTACAGATGCGTGACAGGCAGCTTCAAAGCAAAGCTTCTGCTTCACAAAGAACCCAATTTGAATGGTGATTGTCAATTTCCCGGATTATGCCTTGCGCCAGATCCGGGGGGGACCTACTCGTCGTCAAACGTGCCCTCTGGCAATGGGGGGATATCCCAACTGTCTTCCACACATTCCTAAAGATCAGAAAATGGCAAACAGAACCCGTAAAATGCTAGAATTTGAGGTCAGAACCGGTTGGGTGAACCGCACCATAGTGACAGAGTAGGGCGGCAGCAGCACAGTGATACATTACCAAGACGCACCAGAACAAGCCTGTCGTATTCAACTCTGTTATTGACGAGCATCTTAGCCGCCTGAGGGTTAGCTGGAGAGTCGGGGTTGGGGTCACTTAGAAGACTTTGGATTGAAGTGAGCACTGCTGCGACGTCATACATGGCGCTCCACTGATTTTGCAAGATGTCCAAACAAATCTTCCCATCTGAGTAAATGTTAGGATGGTACATTCGCGTTAGGAACCGCACATGAGGAGGCGAAGTTGGGTAGTCCTCCGTGAACTTGATCAGCAAGTGGAAAGTCCCCGTCTCCCACATTGTGTCCTCTGGCCTGCAGTCATTTGTAAGACACCTCAAACAGAGGCAAACGTATAGTCACTCCTGATTTACCACGAGTTTGGCACCCGATGAATTAAGCGGAGAACGATAGCAGGACGAATGTTACGTACCCATTAATTATTGCGTGGCAATACATCATGTTGTCTGAGAAGGGAGATGCCTTCACTCCATGAGGGGGATCACGAGTAATTCGGGATATGTCCTGCACAATTCTTCGCCTCTGAAACCATACAATCACACGATGGAAGCGTCACCCGCCAAACTTATTACTCATTGGAATACTCTTCGCAGCACCAGCTGCTGCCGTAGTTGTTTGAGTTGCTTATCCCCTTTTCTCTCCAGGTGCCCCACTTTCTGCATGCAACTGTAAATGTTTTCTAGCTGAGAAAGATCGAGCATATGAAGCAGCATAATCCATAAAATGTGGCTACGATTCACCCAACCCTACGACGCTCAATACAGCGTGGACAGTGCCAGTGATCTAGTCATGGTTGGAGCGGCTGCAGCACTCTGGCGACCAATGCAATCAAAAGTGGTGAACTTGCCGCAAATGTCGACATCTTTGCAGGTCATGTGAAGACCTTTGGATCACCATCCGCTCTGTAGTGCCCCTGCATGCTAGCAGTGGAAGCGCCGAGCGGACTATGAAGCTCTACGCTGTCCTTATGGGGGCAGCATTGGTTGGAGGCATTCAATTTACACCTTTTACGATCGTCTTTCAGTGGGTTATGGCGTTTCGATTGTTTCTGCTATGGCGAGTCTTCAGCCCCGAGTTTGGGAAAAGTCGAAGGGGGATAGAGTCAACCATTCAGAAGGCGTTGAAAGAAAAAGAGTCATACTTTTCAATAATGAATGGCCTTGCATGTATGAGGATGGAGTGCAGAGCAAGAGGATTTTACCGCAGTTACCGTAGAGTGGGGCTTTCTGTAGCCATGGACATGCAAGGCCAGGAATCTTCGCCCTACCGACCGCTATGCTTTGCAGCACCTAATATTACGGTGGAGAAAAATTTGAAAGCTTTAATAAGCATTTACACTATATATGGCTAAACTCCTCGTGTTTTGCTGCGTGCGCGGCGTTAAATTTGCGTGATCCTCACTGCCCAAATGGACTTGTTTGAAAGCAGGCGATAGATAATTCATTGCAAAAGTCCCGCATCTCCTGAGCCGGCAAAGAGTCTATAGTGTGTAAAACACCTCTTTATGTGGGTATGTGCAATATTTCAACTCCTCCCCCCTCCCGGCGGCTTTTTGAATCGATCGGCAAGCGCTGGTCTGCCTGCACCCATTGCAGTTCGTATTTGAGAAGTGCATAATACCCCTCACAAGACAATCTTCCACTTTTGCAAGATGGTGTTAACACTGGTGGGTCTCGGCTTAAACGATGAGCGCGACATATCTATCCGCGGCCTTGAGGCGGTTCGCGCGGCAGACATCGTGTATCTGGAGAATTACACAGCGACCCTCAATGTAGACGCCAACCGACTCGTAAGGCGCTCATGTCGCACAACAAAAAGCCAGTGAAGCGAATGATTTCGTTTGAATCGGCTGTGCTCAGATGCTATCTGGACCCCGTGTCCATAGTTGTGTGTAATTGTCGATATACTGCTCAGGAACGTTTCTTCGGAAAACCGATTGTGTTAGCAGACAGAGACTTTGTGGAGGGGAGGGCAGAAGCGATGATCGAAGCAGCAACAACCAAACGGGTTGCCTGCCTAGTCGTCGGCGACCCCTTTTGGTGAGATGTGGTGCGACGCCCTATCTACGTTTGTGTGTGGCGTGAACGTTCCGTATCAATGAAAGCCACATATATAGTGTATATATTTATATTGCATGTATTCGTGCCCATTTACGCTCAGTGCGACAACACATGCGGATCTGTATCTACGGGCGCGACAGAGAGGCGTAACTGTTAAGGTTATTCATAATGCTTCGATTATGAGTGCCGTTGCTGCCAGCGGCCTGCAGGTAATCTCAATATATCTGCATTGTAGGGTTTTGTTTGAGCTATAGTCTAGTCTATGTGTGCACAAGCTATTGTGTCCTGATTTGACTGAGGTGTGCATTTTTTTGCTTCGAGTTATATCGCTTTGGCGAAACGGTTTCGATTCCCTTCTTTGATGGCGGCTGGAAACCCGTGAGCTTCTACGAAAAGATAAAGAAGAACAGGGACAACAACATGCATACTCTCTGCCTCTTGGGTGAGTCGCTCGAGAGAACTCAGCGAACAAGTTTCGAACCCCCTGTGTCTTATTATCCTTTTAGGCGCTTATAACATCCTTGAAATACGTTCAGAAACGTACGTTTCTGGCGTGTGGATATTGTTTTATGCAGACATTAAAGTTAAGGAGCAGACAGTCGAGAATTTGATGAAGGGCAACAATATCTTCGAGCCTCCAAGGTCAATTTTTACCTCTTTGCCTTCTTGAAAACCCTCTGTTTTGAGTTGCTGCAGAGCGCTGCATTTGACGTTTTCTGCAACGTGTCTCGTTCGGCTGTTGAACTGCTTTTTCCTGTTTATGCTGTCCTGGTGTCTGACAGATTCATGAGTGTCAACACCGCCATCGAGCAGCTCCTCGAGGCGGCAGAGATGAACAATGATGGTACAGACACCAAATCCACCTCCTCCTGTCCACACAGTAGAGGGCAGGAGGCAGTAGCACTTGTGCCCCCCTAGGGAGTACACAAGTTCTTTGATTTGCCGTCTCTCGGTCTGCAGTAAAGTTGCCGCCTCCGCTACTGCAAACTGATGATTAATACGGTCGATTGCGTGATTTGCAGGAAGCGCTGCGGACATCTTGGCGTTCGGGTTGGCTCGTGTTGGGGCCGACGATCAGGCGATTGTTTCCGGTGGGTGGAAGAGCTTCTGGGATAGAGAGGCCGGGTGTTTGTATGGTTTCGCAGACAACAGCATATATACAGATTGGAATAAGAGAGTGGCTGAAAACTAACGGCGACCTCCGGTGTTTGTGTTGCGCTTTCTTAGGAACTCTTGGAGAACTACGGAGTGCCGACCTTGGGGAACCTTTGCACAGCTTAGTGAGTCTGGGTTCCACGGTTAGTAGGGAAACCAGTTGCAGGACGTGTGCCTCTGAACCAATGGTTTGTGGTCTTTTCGCGACGTTGTGGTCCTCGACTCAGGTGCTGTGTGCTCCTGAGCTCCACGAAGTCGAACGAAATTTTGTCGCTCTACACCGGCTGACGCAGTCGACTTCGTAAAACCGTAAAAACGCCTCTTCTTGTCCTCAATGTTGAGCAGATCCGGGAACTCTATCACATAATTGTTCCACAACCACCCTGTTGTATTGGCAAGGTTCGCATAATATAGGTAGTAGATAATCAAGCCTCTTGCCGGCACAACGGTGACTTGACAAGGCAGTGACGCAGTCTCAATAGCTGCCGCAAGACTTTTCATGAACCAAGTGGGGTACATTACGCCGCTGCGTAAAATCCCATGAATTCGCAGTCATTACTCTAAGCTGCACAGAATTCGTGTTACTGTGGCAGAAAATGTTAGGTGACAAATGACTCGTTCCTGTCCAAGGACAAATGGGGTTGTGCGACCTGCTGTAAGTTTCGCCAAGGAATATCACAGGTCCGAGAGAGGCGAGAGAAAGGCGAGGCTGGCGGACGTCCTGTTCCGCCGATGATGACAAAGAAAGAATTTGTGTGTCTACTAAGGGCAAACGTGGCTCAGAAACCTGTGTGTGGGTCTCGCTGTGTAGAAAGACCTGTTGACACAGATGAGCACTTGAGGGAACGCCCGACGTCTTGGTTCTCCAGGTGACGCCAGCTCGTTAGGCATTGAACGTTCCTCACAACAACAACAGGACGGCCTCGTTTTCCCGATTTTGTGCATCGTGAGCATCAAATGTCTCTCAAAAGAAGGCAAATAAAATTGCAACCAACGCGCCGACTGCTGGCAGGCAGCAATGCACAGACACGTATGGCAACGGCATCGAGGCTGCTGCGCTTAGCGCTGTCTGCTTCTCCGTCACAGTCGTCACGGAGCGCCTTGGAAGTCCTCTGCACGTTGGGTCTCTGCTCTTTGCGAAGAAGGCCGCTAAAGGCACAAGGGGCCCTGGGAACTCCACCACCCCGTCGTGCTGCCGCCCTCCCTGACGCACACGCGTCGACGGCAAGTCGCACGCCCGGCCATGGCGAAGGCCTGCTGCCATACGAGGCACCAACTGCTCTCTCCTGAAGCGAGAACCGATCAAACTCGGTGCCCGCCTCTGCTGCGAATGACAGCGCCAGGCGGAGTTAGAGGAGATCCGCCGACGTCCGCCTCGACCCGCCAGGCCATAGCCGAAGGCCCCTACAGGCTCCCCATCGCTGAGTACCGACGACAAGTCGGTCAACCTGACGAAAAGAAGCCAAATGACAGAAAAAAGAATACGCCTATACACGTTCAAGGGCAAAAACACCGCTCACTGCAACACGTCAAAGCACCGCTCGGTGTCTCACCTAGACAGACTGTAACGGGCCAAGGCATAGCAGCGGCAGCAGAAGCAGCCAGCACCCAAATACTTACTTCCTCACACTGGAGATCCTGAAATCCTCGGGGAACAAATAGGAGAACAAGAAGTGATCGACAGCCTGGAGTTTCACGAGCGTCTTCTCTTCAAACGCGGCCGTGTCCGTGTCCGCGTTACGGTTGGTGGAGACCGAATTTGTCCCGGAAGTTCCAAGGGAAGCTGTTGGATGCAGATTATGGTTGCTGCTGCTAGTACTGTTAGTTGTTGGGGAGCCTTCTGTCTGGACGCCATAGAGTTTAAAGAACAAGTTGCGTGTTTGCCGCATACGGTCTTCCCAGCTCTGCAGCTCATCGCCACCTTCCATCTCCTGCCTAGCTCCCGAGCTCGGCCTCCCTTCTTTGTTCAAATCTGTCAAGGTCGTCGGGAAACCCGTAGAATGTCTTCTTCTCTCAATGCTCCCTGTGCTAAGCGACAGACTCGCGATTCTTGCATCGGCCTGGAATGCCTCTGTTACCGCGTTGGCTAATTTTCTTTGTTCGTGTTCTGCCGAGCTGTGCCTGCGACCGCGCCGTCGTCGACTCCAGGAGTCCCGCAGAAGGAAGAAACTCTTCCACGCGCCAATGGTGCACGAGGGCTCCAGCACTTCTCGCAGCGGCAGAAAGTTGTACTTCTCTGGCAAGTACGCCGATGCAATGGTGCCTACGTCCGTCATGTGCACTTCGCCGCGGTGGACCGCGGCTACAAGGTTCATTGGCGTGCTGAATTTGACGTGAGTTACTCCAATTAAAATATCTTTAGGAATATCTCGCCACGGCGACAGACACCCCAGCAACAGACACGACGACGAGCTAGCAGACGCGTCACCGCACAACAGACCATCGGGCCAAGACAAGCTCCCGTCGCCACCCAGCGAGTCGTTCAGAGCGACTGCGGCTTTCGCGGTGGAGGCGGCCAGCGGCTGCAGGCCGTGGGCGCTTCGTGCGCTTTCATTGCATGCGGCGTTCCAGAACAACTCCTGCGCCACCGCCGTCTTCACGTCGTGCAAGCGTTTGCTGAAAGACTGATCGAGAATGCCGATATTCAATTCTCGATCGCCCACCAGCTCGCGACGCAGACCTGGGTTTTGCAACGCAATCACCGTGAGCTCCCGAGCAACCGCCTGGACAAGTTCAGGGTAAAAACCCGAAGTGTTCCCCGGGTCAGAGGCCAGCTGTGGAAATACGCTGAAGTCCATCGTGCCCACCAACAACTGCTTCTGCCTCACTACCTGTAAACCCACACCACAATACTGTCAGTGAGAATGAATTGGACTATCAGCAACAGTACATAATGCTGTTCAATGCCGCGCCTGTCCCTCACACTCCGCACTACAGAGGAAAAGCAAACTACTGCCCTCCTAACTTGTAGACAGTACTGAACATGAAAAGCTGAACTTTTGCTTGGTAGAATATTTGAAAATTAATGTTCGTCCGCATACCTCTAGGAACGTGTCAGAAGGGAATAGGTCTGTGAAATCTGTCGGAATGCACTGTTCCACGTCCAGCAGAATTTCGCTTTGGCAGAGGTCCAGAGGCATCATCGGGAGCTTGTACTTCTCAACCAAGTAATCCCTCACTCCGAAAGCAACGACGCGCCGCAGTGCGCAATCGAACGCCAGTCGCAGCCCTGGGAAAGCCAACAGGGCAGCACCAGGATGTCATCAATTTGTAGAGCAAAAGGAAAGAAAAATGATATATAAGCATACTACAGAGTGCTACAGCTGCAGTAGCATCCTTTACAACGTGAACAGTCCTCACCTGTTGAACAAACTGCATCGGAAGCCCCTCGATCGCTCGGCGCCGAGCTGTTGGGGCGCTTTAGTGGCTCAGCGGAATCAGAGGGACCTGGCATTCGCGATTGTGCAGCGGAGGGGTACACGCCTGGAAAATTCCTCATAGATGTAGGGGAATCTGCAGCAGGGGCATGTTCGTTAGCACTGTCTTTGGCAGACGAACCACCACCAGCAGATCCCAAGGGGAGATGCAGTCCCTCATCGAGGACGCCGAGGGCATTATTGGGGCCATGCACAGTTGAATGGCTCACAACTGCCTCCGACGAGGCCAGCATCAGTTTACATGCCGCATATATGAGCAGCAAGAGCCACAAAGCATTTGTCCTGTGTCTGCTGCACATCTTCTCACGGCCTCCAAGCACTCCAGCTGGGATTGCGGAAAGGATTCCGCTCTGCTCTTTTAGCAGCAACTAGTGGGACGTCAAAGGGTTCATTTGAAACATACTTCTTGCCTAAAGAACGAAAGACTCTATGAACCATTGCATACGATGCAAACTGATAGACAGCGGAGTACCCCGTCCACTTGACAGGGCCTCAGGCCCTGATGATGAAGTGCCACCTAAGGCGCTAGTTTGTTTGACCTTTGCAGTTGCGATTATTTCTCCTTCAAACGGATTCGGCAACCAAGTCGTAAACTGAACAAAGGGCGAAGAGCGATGCGCCGTCGATGAAGCAGCAAGGGACAGAAGAACAAAAGAGGCCCGCCCTGTGCATGCCGGGGGGTAGCGAGGATACTAGTGCCCAAGATATGGCAATATATTAGCTAAATTCTGAACAAACTAGAACCGAAATAATCAAACAAGGTCGAAGAAGTGCCTAACAGTTCAAGCTGCTCGTCAGCAGGGAGGCGGGGGAAACGCCCCGCGATGGGGACAAAGGGCTTCATTCACCCCACGGAGGGAGTGTCGGTTCCTAGGGTATGAACAACGGTGAAGCAACCAGTATAAATCACATAATTAAAAAGAAGATATCTACTAATCGAAAACCATCCAGGGAAAGGAAGCCCCTTCTCGCGGGGCTGCGCCAGCAACAGGTGGCAGCTCGACGGCCTGCAGACAGCGGGCAGAAGGACCCACAGGAGGCCGAGCAAGCCTCTCAAAAACTCATAGAGTCGTCCAAGTAACGACTCGCAAAATCCAGTAAATTTCATATTCGACGGAGAGTTACCTTTATTTTACCATTAATTTACTCTGACGAGCCGGATGTGCCGACCTTCGTGCATGCGCTCGTGTTCTTCCGCGTGTGCCTCATGTGTCTGCCCCCTAGCTGCAGTGGACGCCTGACTCCAGCTACACAACGTGGATATAGTAATAATCATAATATATTTATATACTTGCGCTTTAGGTGTTTGTGCATCTTTTGTAGAAATTAGCCTGAAAGTACACCGCCCACCGGTGCACCACACAGCCCCGGGGGAACAGGGGGTGTGCTGCCGACCAGCGACTGCTTACGCTCGTATTTAAAGTTTGCTGATGACTCTGGAATTCATTTAAACTTCTTTTCTTGTTTACGTTCATCTGTCGCGGAAATTCCTACCCGCCTTCTTGGTGCAGCGGGTAGTGCGTCTCACCGTCCGCATCCCGTCCGTACAGTTGCGGTATTTGAATGTTCGTGGTCGTAACGTGGACTGACTCGTCCTCTTCTCTTCCTTTTTACCTTTTCAACACGAATCTGGACTCCTTGAGGGCACCGTGGCCAAGAAGTGCTAGGAGGAGTGCGGGTCTTTGCTGTCAGTCGGTGTCTTCTCCTCAGGCCAGGGAGCAGTATTGCGTTGCCTCACCGTCTCAACCCTTTAGGTGATAAGAATGTTCGCAGTTAGCACAACTAAGTTGATCTAGGTCGTGTCGTCGCCTTCTCAGCTTCAATAACTGCGCTTTCGAGGCCCCAACCTGTAGGCTGTTGCACTTCTTTTGGTTTGTTAGATAGAGGGGCTGCGCAGCCCTTTGAGTGGCGGATTCGGGACATTTATTTATGTATAGTGGCATTGATACACCACTGTCATCTGGCTTCGCCTTCTCTGGAGCGTTGGCGATATTCCGTGGGGCGGCGACGGACGGCCGTGGAGGCTGCGAAGGCTGCTGTCACCTTTGGCCCTCGCTCTGCCTCTTCGAAAGACAGAGTCGTGCCTGTCGTACCCCCGGTTTCACTGTGACAGCTCATGGGGCATTTGGGTGCCTGTTGCAGATTGGGAGGAGGTTCCCTTTGGCTTTGGTGAACCGCAGGACGCGGGCCTTCCTCACGAACTTTGCTGTTTTGCCTTTGTTGCTCTGCTTGCATATGTATATGTGTATTACCATATAGGTATTATACCCTGCTTACAGTCACGTGTCTAAAGGACGCGGAGCATGTGGGGTTATTCTGGTGCGATTTGTCTGTCGGCAGTTGTTGCCGGCAAGCCCATTTGAACAGAGTGGCTTTTAGATATTCTTGCCACAGATTCTGCCTCCTGGCTGCCGGCATTTTGCTTCCCTTTTTCCTGTTGCCTGAAACAGCAGTATCCACGGCGTACTTACCCTTTTCGTTCCGATGGGCCGCAGAAGAAGTGCCAGCCGCATGCGGCCCCGCCCAGGGCCCGCCGGCAGCAACGCAACGGAGGCGGCGGCCGCCTGCGTGTCTGATGCCCCTGCTGCAGCAGAGCAGACATTAGCAGGCAAGAGACAGCCGCGTTGGATTCGTTTTCTTGCCCGAAGACTGCGGTGTATCTACGTCAAAGAAGAACGGCGGACAGCAGACTGGTGTCAAGGGGCTGCTACACAACGGCCAGGCCATATCGGCCGCCGCCGTCGCCTCCGCCTCCGGCGCCACAGAAGAGGGGCCCCGCAAGAGGCCCTCGATAATGGAAAGCAGCAGTGGCAGCATAACAGACTAGATGATGGGGGTTCATTTGGTATCTTCATTCCGGAAGAAGCGGAGCTGCAGGCCACGGGTGCAGCAGCAGCAGCTGCAGCTGCAGCAGCAGCAGCTGCTGCGGCCGCAGTAGCAGCAGCAGTTGAGAGGGGCCCGGCAAGTGCTGAGAAGAGCTCCAACGCCCCCACACGTTTTTGTAGTGACAAGGGCGACGACAATGGCTCATGCATGCGGTCGGAGCCCACTGATACTGCTGCAGTCCTCTTGCATGCAACGGAAGGACCGAGGAGCAGCAGCCCCAGTGCACCCGGGGTAGAGGGACAGCTGACAGCTTTGGCGCCTGTCAGCGTCGTATTGGAGTCAGATATATGTAAAGTTCATCCGGAAACAACGGAAGATGGCGATGACTTGAGCAGAGATAAGGAAGAGACCGACGCGGGGGCATCGAGTGCAGTCCTCGTCGAGGGCGCCGAAACAGACGCTGCAGCGGCAATCACAACTGCGAAAGCAGCAGCTGCTGCTGGAACTGTTAGGACTGTTGCTGCTGCTGTTGTCTCGCCTTCGCCTCCCCTTCCTGCAGCGAGCGCTGGGGGGGTGCACGTAAGTTTGTGGCCCTTCATGTCAGTTGACGGGTTGCGGGCGGAGGATCCGACGCATTTGTTTACTCGACTGGAGGAGCAGCGGCTGCGGTTCAATACACTTCAACGGCAAGCAGCAGCTTGTGCTCCAGGAGAGACCTTTACCTGGGACAGGAAGCACGAGGCCCAGGAGCTGTCGGCGCTGCTGGTGAATGCAGCGGTACGGTCGATGCTGGGGCCTGCAAACCACATGCCTTGTGTGCATTCGCATGACGGCATTCAAGTCTGGAAGGGAGAGTCAGGTGTGGGAAACTTGGCCTGCAGAGGTAGGCGCAGCATTCGTTCACCGGTCATAAGACGTATTAAACCACTTATAACCACAGCATATGCATCCTGCACAGCAGAAGTGTGATTGACGCAGCAGGAACGACACACCAAATGAGCGCCGCAGCACAACGAGCAAACTGCTTTTTCTTCCTGTCAGCTGTTTCCACGGTAGATCCACCGGCTTGTTCGAGTGCATGGACGCCAGCACGTGACACTTTTGCTCACCAATATCATTGCGCCGTGAGCTTTCTTTCTCTGAATTTGTAGGGTAGTCGGTAACTGTGGGAACTATGCGTGTTTGTGTGCTGTGGTGTTGACTCTTTGCAGCTCGGTTTCTGTTGCCAGTGGAGCCTAGGCTTTATGCCATGTTCGCAAGTAATTCGGAGTTGCGCCTGTCTTGGGACAAAAGCGTGACGGAGCAGCACGTGGTGGAGAATTTAGACGCGGGTCACGACATTTGCTATGTTGCATTTAGGCGGGTGGCGACGGTTTACCCGCGCGATGTAGTGACACTTCGAGTCAAGTGCAGGCTGAATATGCGTCCGGGAATTGCCAGCCCCGACTGTGCTGCTCCTGGCAGCTCTACCGAGGAGCTGCCTGAAGGCGGTGGCGTCCTCAGTACCAACGTCAGCAGCGGAGACGAAACAGTAGACGCTGAGGCGACCGCGTACGGCTCGATGAGCTGCTCCATTCATCACCCCGATGTGCCTGAAGCGTGAGCTCCATAGATGCATGCATGCCTATTGAGAAGTTGCAACCAGGTGCTGCTGATAGCCATGATTAAATGCGGCGCGGTGACGTAGCAATTGTGACACTGGTGAATTGATTGGTGCCACCAATGTTCGGTCATGTAGTTCAGACGCAGTTCCATTCGAGTGCAGTGCCCCCCGTGAGCAAATGCATTTAACACACCGCGGTCAACTCGCTCAATTTTGAAGTTTTTCGTTGATTGATGGTTTGTCCATTGCCCATCCTTTCCCCATAGCTTACTCAATTGCCCCAAATGCCGTTGCGATTGCTTCTGGTGCACCGTCTTTGACATGCGGTGCGTTGTTCGTCTACTACGTGTTTGTTTGTTAGCCCCAATTTCATGGCTTCTTTGCTGCTCCCCCAAGTTCCTGCGTTCTTCTATTCGTCGTTTCTGTTTATTTCGCCATGCTCTGAGTCGTAGTTTTCCTATTTTGTTGGCTTCCACAGACCTGGGCGGGTTCGGATGGACATTCGCATAAATGCGTATCTCGCAAAGCCTGTTTGCACTCCTTTTGGCTGTAAGTTGCAGACACTTCTGCCTGCTCTCGTTTGGTTGTTTCTGCTGCATTTGTATGTTTAGAATATAACATAGACACTGCAGATGCGAAATTAGGTGGTTTCTTCTGCCTGCGATGGATGTGATCTTCTCCCGCGCCGTTCGAGCACGTTGACGCTACTGCCATTGCGTGACTCGCCTTTTTGTTCACTTTTCAGTTAGCCACGGATTTAGTTTTCCTTGGCTCTCTCTCCGCATTCATTTAATTCTCCATTGGATTTCTGTTTTCTTGTTTGTAATGCGAATGTTTCGGAATTGGTTGTATATCTGTAGTCCCGTTCCCCTACGGTTGATTGACAGTCTATGAATAGTTTTGTGTACTTTGTCCATATTTCCTGACCATCATTTTGTGGTCACCTATCACATATTTTGCGTTTTTGTGCTTTTACAGTATGGAGTGAAGTTACGCTCTTCAACGAGTCCGACCCGGGCGGTTGGATACCGGCGGCGATAACGAGAACAATTTCCGCCAAGCTACTTCCACTGACAGTGGAGAGATTTTCGGCTCAAATATTGAAGCACTAGTACGCAGCTGTCTGATGTACTCCATAGTTTGCCAGAAGTTTACGCGTGCATGGTTCTCTCATTTTTACCGCACATTTCGCTCCCATCTGTGTTCGCAATGTGGTCTATGCAAATTGTCACGTGAAGTGAACGGACAAATTTCGTTATTTGTACACATTTAGGGTACTGCAGCAAAGAATGCGCTTTACTGAGTAGTAAACGAGTGGAAGGTTGGATGCAGCATGTTGAGGGTAGAGCAGAAGATGCTCGTGTTGAGCAAACGACATTGTGTGTGTTTCAGCGACATGACTTGGACAGGATCAGCCACGGGCTTTGCAGCTCGCAAGCTGAAGATGAGTAAACTAGTGCTGACTTAGGTGGGTTTGGCAGGATATTTTAGTATTTATTCATCCGTTACAATGAGTCTCTGCCCGACTGACAGCTGATGACAGTACCCGTTTACTGCTGAGTTAGTTCTGTTTGTCTCGTTAGCCGCAAGTCAAGGACGAAGAGAAACACACTCAGATGACGAGGGAGAAAGCAGTCTGTTTTTCACGTGATTCTTGCCGTTGATTCCAGCCGGGTCTTTATGAGTCTGTTCCGATCTAGAGAGCTAGCTCGCTTTTCAGTATAACTACTGTATCTTGAGTTATTGATGTCGACAACTGGAGGCAGTGCATCTGTGCTCCTTCCAAAAATTGATTCTTTACTATTGCACTTCGCTGTAGTTCCTGTGGTTTGTTTTATTTCACTTTCTCATGATATTTTGCTCCGTTGTGCTGTGATTCGCTCATTTTCCCTGATCAGGCCTTCCTTTTAGGGTGGACGACGACTTCTTTTGGAGGTCTCACGTGGCAGTGCATTCGGAGTGGTCGTCCTCCCTCTTGTAAAACCTGGGGAGAAAGGGCCTCAGATTTCGCATTCCAGGGGCTCAGTCAATTGTGCAGCTATCCATCTGCGTAATAGATTCACGAATTGACTACTGGTTTGCCCACAGATTGCCGAAGACTTTACTTGTTTGTTAGCTGTCTGCCGGTGCAAGTTAGGGTCTCTGCTCAGTGGTTGCCTCTCTGTTTTTTCTCGCGTGTATGCCAATTGCATATTAATATATCCGTTTTTAGCGTGAGCTTTGCTTAAGCGAGGCGGCCCTGCTGCCACCCTAGCAGCATGTAGACATAAAATCCTTTCCCCCTTTCTGAAGGGTTTGCTCCCTCCAACCTTGTTGCTTCGCGCATTGCTCCTTCTTATAGGGATTTTCCGCGCAGCTTTAGCATGCTCGTTTCTTCGCTTGGTGGTTCGCTTTCAACGTGTCATGGTTTGTTGGGTGGGTTTCACGTGACTACTATACGTGAGGGTTTGCTTGTTTGCTTGTTTTCGATGCTTTCTTGCTTGATCGGGTGTTTCCGTTATTCTGTCCGTTTGTTCCTCTGTTGTGGTGTCGTTATATGCATCGAATGCGAGAGTTTGGGCGCCAAAGGCGGCATACCGCGTATGTATGAATACAGTTGAGGTTGCGGCTGAGAAAATTCTCTCAGAGGCAACGGTGGTTTACAAGTTGTTGTGACTATGCTCACAGTTGTTGCATTGCGCCATCCCTGTCTTCGTTTAGAGTTAGCTACGAAAGAGTTCTTGAGCACTGCCAATTACTGACTCTATTTTGTATTTTGTCCTGCCTCTCTGGCAGAGCCGCCTCATTGCAGCGCAAGAGCTGCCGGCAGCTGAAGGGCTGTTTCCTGTGTTAAGCGGTCGAGAACGAATGTCTCGGAACGGCTTTGCTTTAATGCCCGGAGCAGACGGACTTTGTCGTTGAGGTGCCACAGCCGTTTTGACACGGTAGGCAACTGCCAGCAGGCGAGTGGTGGGACCCGAGTCCGGAAGAAAGTTGCAGTAGAGGGGGCATACACACGTTATTTATATCAAGATTTTATTGTTATGTGGATACATGCTGGTGACATTCGACAAACCCTAGTATGCATGGTACTGGCACTCAGTTCCCTTGCAAACCACAACCAGACGCTTTCCTCTTCTGATTACACCGATGATCTCATTGAACTGGTCGTGCTGACAATGCAACTTAACTCTTATGGTGATGGTATCCAGATAAGAGATTGTACTCAATGTTTTAATAATATGAATATGGGGTCTACCGTATGTTGTGGAACGTCTGAATCTTACACACACTTCGTGTTGTCTGCGTGTGCCTACGAACTACGTAGTACTTAGTAGAACCAAGTAGAAGTGCGTTACATATTTGATGCCGATACTGTAGATGCACGTTAGCAACAGTAATGTAGCAAGCGACTGTTGGAGGCGAAGGTAACAATACAATGGTGGAAGATGCATTCTTCATACTCCAACGCGATCTAATCCCATTTCCCTGTATTGCCATGGGGAGACCGTTTATAAGCAATACCTAACCCTCAGCGAGCTGACACCGTTTGAAAGCCGCCACGATTACGTGGCAATGAGAAAACTGCTGATTGGATGGATGTTTACTTTTGTCTTGAACAGTGTGCCAGTAGAGCTGAGGTTGATACGTCTGTAGACTTCACTTTGTTGTGCGTAGTGGTTGCATCTAACGGGAAGAAGATACGGGTTCTAGGTGGCAGCTTAACCCCAGCAACTTTGTACCGTCTCTTTCCTCTCAGTACGTTAGACTGGAGGAGCGATGGTGGTGACTGAGGTTGGTGGTGGCGGTTATAGTCACCAGTGCCACGTAGAATATCCAAGTAGTCCAGTATAGTCACGTGCGGACATTCATGCTGGCGTACACCAGCCTCCTCCGGTATACGTTACCGATTCACTCTTTTGGAGGCTATTCTCTTGTGCGTTTCCTTCCCGTTGAATTTCAGGACGTTGACCCAGGGTTTGGACTCAATGTGCCTCCTAAATGAACTGCTCCAACGACTGTCACCGCTTGCTGCTTGAGCTGTGCCAGCATAGTTGATCCTCAGGGCAATCAAACATTGCACACAGACTCAATTATAGTGTAATACAACTGCTTTTGCCCGTTTATTTGAAGACGAGCATAATTATTCCATAAGCATGCCAACCAATGTGCATAATCTATAGAAACAGCTAGCACCGACACGCAGAAAACCCCGTGCAATGCTGCAATGCCGTTGAGATTCTATTGTTAAGCTCATTCATTGATAGTGATAGTCAAATGGTTGGCATTTTATTTGGAAAGAATTCTCAATTCTGCCCTCAAGGTGCAAGGACAGACCAAATAATGTTGGCTGTACTGCATGCATAGAGCCGCTTGGGTCGCGATGTTCCGTTCGTTTCCTCGTTCTCCACTGAGGTGGAAGGCTTTGCTTTTTTTCCCTTGGCGTAACGATCTGAATTTAAACTGAACAGTGGCGAGTTCGCCCACTATAACTCTGGCTGTGTTGATACCGCATTGCATACCTCTGGATGGCTCGGCTTGCCTTGTTTTCACCGACGGTGCAGATCCTTCCCTTTTCCCCCTCCATTTCTGCAGTTGAGCCTAAAATTCTTGTGATTCGCAACAAAAGTATTAGAGACAACCGCTATAACCTCATATCTCCCCCATGATATCCCTCGCTGTTGCTTCGCCTTTAGTCATTTGACATCCATCTTGTTGGGTGCCTCTCCTTGAGCCTTCAGTGGAGTAATGGCTGCCCTTTCCTCCCTCCAATTGGCTTCTGTTCTCACTACCTTCCTCATCTTCTTTCGTACCATTTAGCTCGTCGCTAGCCGTAAATTGGCTGCTCCGGTTGCGGCTCCCCTCCGTCCTTCCTCCCCCCCCCGCCGCCCCTCCGGTTTGGAGACTCACCAGCTGGGCAAGACATAATGGAGAACGACGGCGACCAGCAGCCGCTGTTGTCTAGCGCTGGACGTACGGACACAGCAGCAGGAGCAGGAGAAGGAGCGACAGTAGGACGGGAACCAACCAGTTTCAGTGCGACGACGGCGGAAGATGAGATGGCTGGGGATTCAAGGAGCAAAACGAAAGATAAAATGCAGTCAAAAGCATCATCAGTAGCAGCAGTTCCCCTGCGCTATGCAGCCCCCCTTGGGGGTGTGAAGGGGTCACTATTGCGTTCCCTACCTGTGGTATTCGTTTTATCTCTCCTCTCAGTCGTTGTTGGGGTATACGTGTCGTTTCACATTGCACCCCTGCTGCAGCAGCATGAAACGGACAGAGCAGCGTTCAACAGAGGCATTTGGGAGTTTGCCGTCTTTGTCTTTCTCCTCGCCCTCTTCATGTTGTGTTTTGCGTTGAGCGTCTTCGTACGCCCTGGCCAACCAACCGAATTGGGGGAGGAGGCGCTAGAGACACACAACGCAGCGGTATGTGCCAGCTGTACAAACGTCATAGCCGTCTTACATTCCATAAATACACTCTGCTCATATGTCCTGCACAGTTGTATCTTCTGATTGAATACAAGTCTGCACACTGTCGTTGTTGTGCATCTATACTTGGGATGCTACAACGCAGATCGGTATGTGTGTTTGCATGATTGCATTGGCACGCATCCACGTGGCGTACGCACATATGCGCAGCACCCGTATATATAGTAAGCAGTGTATACGTATGTGTATATGCATGTGGGTTGTACTGCAGGAGACGAAGAGTGGAGGGGGGTTGCGTGTGTGCAAGTGGTGCGGCGTGTGGAAGCCGGACAGAACGCACCACTGCCGTGTGTGTCGAGGTTGTGTATTACGAATGGACCATCACTGCCCTTGGCTAGCTAACTGTGTTGGCTGGGGAAACCACAAGTACTTCATGCTTCTGCTCTTTTACGGGGCCCTCACTTGTTTGTTCGTGGCAGCCACTATGTTGGAGTCCGTCATCCGAGTCGTCAACGAGCCAAAGGTGCAGTTCATCGAGTGCATGCACCCTTCAGCTGCTGCGCTTTGCGCCTACACACACCCCTCCTGCTGCATGCATCTCTGAACATACTTGTGGCTGCTGACCGTCACAGCAGTTCAAATCACACGCATAGCGATGTTAGCACACGCACACTGGCGGTGTATGCATGTATGGATGTTTGGTGGGTGTACCTGTAAGTTTATGCTGCTCGTTTTCCTCTCTGCCCACGTACGTCTCTGTGTATTATATGTTGCAACCATGCTTGCATATATGCATGCACCGACAGTGCTACTCCCTGTTCTTCGCTTTCCGTACAGGCAGACTTTGTGGAGCTGTTTTTGTTGCTGCTGGGATCGTCCTTGGACATACTCATCTTTGCTGTCATTTTCCTCTTCGGGCTCTTTCACCTGTACCTCCTCGCCAAAGGGATGACCACTATTGAGTTTTGCGAGAAACGATTCAAGCGGGCTCATGACCAACCACCATCTGTGCGTAATCTACAGGGGGATTTGGGTTGTAGGGTGCATGCGGAAATCCATGCCACACCACGAGACAGACAGATAAACATGCAAGCTTAGGAGAAAGCAAACATGTGTACAAACAAACAAACAAGCATCCGAGCTGGCAGACAGAAGAAAATGTAGTGGTCCATACACATAGCTCATCCGCTAATTTTTGCGTATTTACGGGAAGCCCATAGTCTGTGCATGCGTTAATTTTTTTTTGTTTATGTCTCGCAAGTGCGTGGGGAATGAGTATATGGTGATGGTGTCGTTGCCAACTTAGGGCGTTCCGTTTGAGCGAAGCATTCTTGCTGAGGGGGCTCATTGCGACACACTTGCTGTTAAATTGACCTGAACGATTAGCGACGGCAAGATAGTTTATTTTGTGCTGCTTCCGCTTTGCTCTTCAGAATATGTGGAACTTGGGTTTCTGGAGGAACTTCAATGAAGTGTTCGGCTACAATCCTCTCCTGTGGTTTGTGCCTGTCGGTGAGCCGAAATGCTAAGACAGATGTGGTGTTTAGGGTACCCGGTGGCAAGCTTGCTAAGTAGAGGTTTAACAGCAGAGCTTGTAATAAGAATGGTATCATAGCATTACTCTTCTGTTCTTCGCGTTTGCCGTTCAGATAATCGCCATGGAGACGGACGGCATTTTCCTCTCTCCGTACCTTCCGCCCACGTGGATTAATAGTGTAGTTTGTTTGCCTGTGTGCGTTCATTTTGTTTGCGGCCTCAAATGTTCCCTTTCATGGACTGTGGGCCAGTCTCTTCGACTAGTGCATCTTTTCTCTCGTCGCTTCTTTCGTACGCCTTGCCTCTGCACATCCTATTTCCGTCTCTCCTTTTTTCTATTCGAACGCCGGTACAAACACGGTGTTGTAGCCCGCTGCGGGAGAGATGCAGCAAGAAGGGTCATTTGGTCTGCTGTGGCCGATGCAGCTCATGCAGATCCATCAGCTGCTACCGCTGCCAAACAAAGGAACTTGTTTACCGCACAGCATAACAATCTTGCAGTAATATTAGAACGCTAAGACATAGGTTCTGGAGGGCCGACGGCCCCCCGGAGTGGTGGCTAAGCTGACGAATGCCCAAATGAAGGATTAAACAGTGCTATACCACTACTACGATTATATGTCCTTTTGTCTTCGATGGGCTGTGGTGGACATTAATATACAGTAGCAATCTCCAGCACACCTTCTCGTTAGGTAGTGAAGAAGGTTGAAGTACACAATAGACATGGGGGCAACGAATTTGGGACGAAGAGCCACACGTTTAGAGGTTACGAAAACGGAGCAGAGATCCGATACAAGGTAAGGCAGGCAATTAATAAGCAACAGTCAGAGAAGCACACTATTGGAGGAGCGTTAGACTCGTTGGGCTTATCAGGCTTAGTAGTAGTACGACTTCTTAAATAGGCTGGCTAAGGGCAAGGAGGGAGGTACGAGAAGAAAAGTGCAAAATGAAGAGGTTTAAGGGACGTAGGATGAACAACCCGGAGGCGACGGGTCTGCGTCGGAAGGGCAGCAGTTTTGTGCATATTTGCACTCTCAAGAGAACGGAACAAATTTGTTTCCACTCAAAGAATATTCCTGCAACTAACGTGCAGTCTATTTTCCCATTATACTAGCTTTACTTTGCAAGAAGTCAGCATGTCCTGGAGTGGTTGAATAACACCGAAATTCGAACACGAGGGGGGGCTTTTGTAGCGAGGCTCCAAATGCTAAAATTTGCAATAAACTCGACATTTAAAATGCGAAAATGAAAAAGTGTGGCTGACGAGGAACATGCATGCAACAAACACGTAAAAATGGGTTGATACAACCGGTCAGTCGGTAGGGTAAAATTCGGAGGGAGGCGTGAGAGACTACTGATGGTACAAACCAGTCTAGATAGAATACACTGCGTTATTCCTACTATTTTGCAATTGATATGACAATAAAGTTAAGGTTTTCCGCCTAGTTTGGCCTAATTTCTTGAACGATTCCTTCGCCGCAGTTCAGTTGGTCGGGTGTACGCACAGCGCCGGTGAATTGCCGCGCGTGATGCAGGGCGAAAACGACGAAATAGCTGCGTTTTTTTGTTGAAAGATTTAATTTATTTTTCGACAGTGGAGGTTCCCTAGGTCTTGCTGAATTTACTGGCTTTATCAGCCCCGCTGGCGCCTGTAACGGAGTTGTTCTCTGCAGACGGTCGGAGCCCAGATGGTCAGCTTTGTTGCCTTTTTTTGTCCTTGTCAAGAGCGTGTTTACAGGTATTCTTGGGTGTAATGCTGCATGTAGAAAAACATTGGAAGTGGAACATTAGCCTCTGTGGTCTCAAGAGTACGTACGTACACTGCCCGAATTCTACTGTCTCGGCGAGCTGCAGTCGGCCGTTCGAGAATTATACGGCGGATTCATTTGGGCGCTGCTTCTTATATCCGACCGCTTGCTCTTCTTGCAAGCACTTTTTACATCAACTTTGTCTGCAGCGCTGCGGTTTTGCTGCCTTTTCCCATTCCGTTCTTGCTGCCTGTACAGCTGCCACGCCGAGGCGAGGCTCGCATTTCTGGCTACCCCTACACCTTTAAATCTTTTGAGCTTACAGTTCGTTTTTTTCTTAGTCGCCCTCTCCTTTCACCTCCATTTGTACGCCCCTTATTCCGTGCTCCCCCGTGCTGCAGGAATACCAGCGGCCGTTCAGTTGCCTGTGGATTAGCGTGGCTGTTCCCCCGCAGCAGTTTTTGTTTCCGCTCCCTTTCAACCTCCGTTGTTCAGGTTTTTCTGTCTTGGGCTGCAGCTGTTGAAGCTGCTGCAGCAGTTGCTGCGTCAAATGGGAAGTCAGGGCCGCACCAGAGAGAGGGGTGTGAGAGCTGTTGACGACGATGGGGCAGACGGAATCGGCTTTGGTGGGAGTCGATCCCAGCCGCAAGCGGCTGCCTCGGGGCGTGACGTGTATTGCTGAGGCAGCGGCAACACAGCAGCGGCTGCTACATATTCCCTTGTTGTGTGGGGCCATCACGTGTGTAGACTTCAACACTTTGTTGGGAGAAGGCAGCTACGGCGCTGTGTACGCCGGCTCTGTTGACAGGAGCACCTGCAGATACACGTCAGAAAGCAACTCCCGCCTCCACTCGCTGTCGCTCGGGTGTATAGACAGCGGCAGCACTGGCACAGACAGCAGACAGTCCAGCAGCGGCTCCTCTCGCCAAGGATGCCAGTACTGCTTTTTCGACAGAACCCGCCAGGTTGCGGTCAAAGCATTGCGCCATTCTTCTGAAAAGCAGCAGCAGTTTTTTGTTAACCGATTTAAGTTCCTTCAGCTCATTCGTCTGCAGCAACTGCTCGCCAGCAGCAACCTCGACACTGACCCAGCACACCAGAACAGCTTACCGGATTCCGGTGTACATACACCCCAAAATAGACTTCAGTTGCCTGCCGACGTGTTTGCTATGCTGTCCGCAACGGCCCATCAACACTGCCAACCCGCTCCGGCAGCAAAGGCGACAGCAGCAGCAGCGGACCACTCGGCAGCACCCGCGGCAGCACCGCCAGCAATAGCGGCATCTGGAGGGAAAGCGGCAGACAATGAACACAGCAGGGGGTTTCCTTGCAGCTGCTGCCGCTTCTTACAGTTTCCCAGCTTCGATTCGCTGCATTTGCTGCAAGTTTTTGGAGTGTACGCATGCAGTCGGGTGTCTCGCGAGTTCCTCGTGATGGAGCGGCTGTCTGGCCCCACACTTTTTGAATATTTGTGCAAAAAGTACAGCCAAGTTCTTCCTAAAGAGTGGGAGGCGTGTCAAATCATTGTTCCCATTCTTAAAGGGTTGTGCTGCATTCATCAAGAGGGAGTGAGTGCCGCTGCTGCTGCTGCTGGTGCTGCCGTTGTTTTCCTCCAGTTGTGCCATTTCCTGCTGCTGCTTTTGCATTCCCTCGCTACTACTGCTCTTGCTGCAGCTGTATATGATTCCTTCGCCCATGGTTCCGCTTTCATTGCTGTTGCCATGGCCTTTGCTGCTGTTTTCCTTGTTTGTTTTGCTGTGTCGTTCGCACGACTGCATTGTGTGCTGGAATTATTGCAGCAGCAGCTGCTGCTTCTTTAATTTAGTCTGTAGAGTGTGGTTCCTGCATGCGACTTTTAGTTTATCCACGGAGACGTCAAGCTGGAGAATATCATGTTTAGATCAGCTGCTCCTCATCCTGCTACTCTGACGCTAGTGGACTTGGATGGACTAACTCCTTTGCCCTCCGCAGCAGCACGTGCTGCGCAGGCGTACTCAGTTGCTGCCGCCGCTGCTACAGCTGCAGCTCAGCAGCAGCAGAATGCAGAGAGAGGGAAGCTGGCCAATGCGCCGGTAGGACGCTCGGAGGTGGCAGCAGCAGCCGCAGCAGCCGCATGCACGACGTCTCTAACTTCTTTGTTGAATGGGGAGGGAGGGGCCTTGGAGGGTTTGTGCTGCACCCCTCAGTATTTGCCTGCTGAGGTTGTCAGAGATCGGCGGCTGTCTCCCTTCGCCGATTTGCATGCTGTCGGCTGTATATGCTATCTCCTCATGGAAGGCTGCTTTCCGCATGAACGTGTCAACCTGAAGAGGTACGACAGACCGATGTAGCCTGTCCACGCTTGCGCATCAGCACGTAGCAGCTAAGGCGGCCGTTAGTATGTTGATTTTCTGTAGAGTCTGCCGCATCTTTCAGGTTATCATGCGGTTTACCACTGTGGTCGAGCCGCTTTTCTGTTGCTGCCTGTGCATGCATGTATTTGTTGTTGCAGTCAGGGAATAATGAGCAGCGGTCAGCTCTGCCAAAAGCTGTCAAAGGACGTCCGCTACCCTCGACTGAAACAGAAATATTCCACTTTATGCGAAAACTTCATGAGGAAACTCCTTAGCAGCGAAACCAAATATCGCTTTGAAACGGCAGCAGAGGCCCTCAAGCATCCTTGGATTAACTACGCCCTTGGCCTCCAATCCCCTGAAGAAAAACGCCATGAGCGAGAGTTGCTGCAGGAGGTGCTTGTCTCAGCAGAGAAAGCAGCAGAAGAAGCCATGCAAGCAGCACACAAAGCCGAACAGGCCGCAAAGGAACAGGCAGAGGCGGAAGCTGCAGCAGCAGCTGCAGCAGCTGCTGCTGCACATGCCGCCTCTCTCGAAGCCGCTGCGGCACATCGCGCTGCCCAAGAAGCAGCAGCAGCAGCAGCAGCAGCAGCCAAGAAGGCACAGGCTGAACAGAAGGCGCAGCAAGCTGCAGCAGCGGCAACAGCAGCAAAGTTCGAAAAAAGCAGGGCCGAACAGGCGGCAGAACAAGCAGCAGCAGCGGTGGTTGCGCTGGTGGAGTGCCGAGCTGGCAGCCCTCTAGCAGGGACAGAGGCCAGCAACAACCAGCTGCAGCATACCCCGAGGTCGCCCCTACCGCCTCTACCCTTGCCTTCGCATGCTGCAGAACAACAGCAGAAGATTGTGCTGAATGCCCCCCAAGCAGGAATGACTCCTGTTGCTCCTTGGAACGGTGCGCCGCAGCAGCGGTTCGGCGTCCCTCCACTCAATGCTGCAGCTGTACAGCCACCTGCAATAGCACGCGAGGACTCCTTCTTCAAAGGGGCAGCCCGTTTTGTTGCTGCAGCGCGCAGCCCGCGTACACCCAGAAGGCACCGCAAAGAAGCAGCAGCAGCACAAGCAGCGTCATCAGCTACGCCAGCAGCGACGCCTGCTGCAGCAGCGGTCTTAAGCCAGTTGGATTTGCAGCAGCAAAACAACCACCAGGGTCCTCCAAGCCCAGTAGAAACCCAAACAGCGGCAGCAGGCAGAGGGGAGGAAATCGCAGCAGAGTCCAACGGGTCTACTGCCGACTCCTCGGCTTTCGTCTTGATGAATGAACAACACAGGGCATTTGCAAAAGGAGGTGCAGTTGCAGCAGCAGCAAAACCATCCGTCACAGGGGCCTCAAAGAGCCTATATGCGCAGCAACAGCAGCAACAGCGGCTGCAGCAGCAACATCTGGCACTCGAGCAACAGCAGCTGCAGCAACAAAAGCACCGTAAAGCCACCCAAGGTACTGCTTTCCTACGAGGTCCCGATGCAGCAGCAAACGGCAGCAGCAGCAACGAACACGCGCAAGCCCCTGCTCCTGAAAATGCAGAAATCCCAGTTAATCTCTGCACCACGCGGCTGCAAGCCATACCTCAGCGTCAACAGGGCAGCAGCAGCAGTAGCACCAAAGGCGAACAGCAAGAGCAGCAGCAAAAGGCTGCTGCCGATGCCCCCCTAATGGAAGTCAATGGATTCCCTGTCGAGGGTCCCGTGATGCACCAACAGCCACAGCAACACCAACAGCAACAGCCGAAGCAGGAGCCACCGCAGCAACATATAAATAGCAAACTGGTTACGGCTGGTAAGAGGCAGGTGCAGCAACTAGCGTCTAGCCGCCACAACGGAGAGGTGCAGCAACAGCAACAGCAGCAACAACAGCAACAGCAGCACAAACCGGAAACAGGGGACGGAGAGAGTGTTCCTGGCTGGCTGGAAGGCCTCGTTGGCTTTTTGGGGGCAGTGGGGCCTCAGACACCTCGGGACACCGGGCGTGCTGGCTAGAGTAACAAAACCGCGAAAACAGAGGCTAGAGGCTTCCCTTCCAGAGCAGCTACTCCAGCAGTACAACAGGCAGCAAGCGACTCGTCCACAGAGACAGACCGCTCGTCCTGCAGAGAAACGTTGGTTGTCGCAGCTGCTGCACTGTAACAGCGAGGCGCGCCCTCGCAGCCGTTGTCTCCGTGTCACGTTTGTTCGTTTATTTTTGTCCGATGGAGGTATTTGTGAGGTGTTTGGCGTCGGGAGGGGGGACCAGTCCAATGGTCCTCTTCAGGTGCGTTTGTCTGCCTGTCCCTCTTTCGCTGCACCCGACTTCCACCTACAAGTGGCTGCAGATATTTGTCTTCTGCTTGCCGCTCCCTTTCCGCCACTCAAGTAGTTAGAGGAGATCCACTGGTCATATTGATAAACATAAGCAGGCCTATGCATAACCATATTTATGTGCCTCTCCATATCCTTCCAGTTTTTGCGCATCTCCTAAGACAAATTCCTTGTTTATTTTTTCGCTTATAACAGGCACTAACTGTAAATCAAGGCTCCATTCATAGCATGCCCTTAGGCTATGTAGGTGGTTCTGCTGTATCTCTCTTCTTATATTCTAGCTTCCGAGGCTCCCAAGATACCCCTTAAGGCTGCATGTGTTCGCCCCGCTAGAAAAGGCCGTAACGGCGCAAAGCGTCACTAACGAAGCAGATTCTATCCTGTCACCGTTGCTTATCGCCAACCCCCTTACACCTTAGGCGCGGTTTCACAAACATCGTTACTACTGTGGTTCGTACTGGCTACTGTAAAAGCTAGCTGACCTCACATGCACCTGCACTCGAAGTAGTGTCCACACGCCTCAAGCCAGTAACAACCGTCCACTGTTAGCGCTGCAGCAGAGATTCGTCGCAACAGGCATAGCTAGTGCAGTTGTTAACGTTCAACTTTTCCCCTGTATTGATCGGGTCCTAACCTCACACATGAGGCTGTCCGGCTGCGAACCACCACAACGCGTGGAGGGGGGAGGAGTGAACATAAACGAAAAATAAAAAGAAAAATTGAAGCAAAGTAAATGCGCTGCAGAGCGTGTAAGTAAGTAGACTGAACACAAGAGGGAATGCTCCAGATTTCAGTGTCGCGGCAGGTCAAGACATCAACAGCAACAGCGACACAATCAGCAGCCGTCCACAGGGCCCCCATGCGTTGTTTTGTGAAGATCCGGGTACATAAATGAAGTAGAGTACTTCTTTTTATTTATTTTTCTGTCAGATTCAACTATCGAATTCAGTGAACTCATCTTCAAGGGGTTTCCGCTCCAAAGCCTCCTCTGCTGGCCGCGGGCGGGGCCCCCCTCCTTAGTGTTATATGGAGGCTGCGTGTTGTAATGAAAAATATCTTTGTTTATTTTTTGTTTCATTTTTGCAAGTATGTGCAGAGCTGTAGAGGGAGAGGAAGAAGAGGCATAAGCGAAGGCCGCAGTGTGCATACCTGTAGCTCAACAGATTTTCTGCAATGGGAATCCTCTGAAGCGCAGGATTTAAGCGCGTGCTGACACATCACTTTTCCTTTTTGTTCTTGTTTTTACTATCTTATTTATCTACGAGGCTAACGCGGCCTACTCTGAAAACATATTTTGTCAAAACACAAATTCAGCTGAAACTCCCCAGCGTCCTCTAAACCCCTTGTCGTTGTTTCCTTGTTGGCTCTCTTGGCACCAAGGGGTCCTCTAGGAGGGCCAACCATCGCAGCACTTGTGTGAGGCAGACGAAACAACCGTAAAAACAAAGCCAGCCGACGAAACCCGCATAAAGAACACGCAAAGGTAGACAAGAAGGAACCTGCAAAGCGGACAAACGGAACAGGCAAACAACTAACACACTCAGATAAAACATACAATATAAGCAAACCAACAAAACAAACATACCAAGCAAATAAAGCGGACGGACAAACAAAAGAAGCAAACGCCAAAGTGAAGGCACAGAGTGTTGCATTTCTGGGTCATAGAGCGGCCCGAAGCTACAGCATTTTCTGTTGCTGCAGCAGTCGCGCTGACAATGGCTCAAAAGATTGACCGTAGGGGATCCCCGCAACCAGGGGCCACTCCAGAGGCTTCTAATGATCATTCAGAAGATGAGGAGTTGTGTGAAATGGTGGCGCTGTCCCCAGCGGGCCGTTGCGCCACCATGTGCATTTTTGGGTGTATATCCCTCATGTAAGGAGCCTTTAGTCTTCTTCCCTCTTCTCTGTTGACTTTCACACTCCATCATACCACTTGCATTCTTGTTCCTAACCTGTCTTTCTAGCTCTTCGCGGTGTCTGTATATTTCTTCTTTGTCCTCGTGTGTTGCTTTTTTTCCACTGTAAGCTGCGTGCGTGTTCTACATGCTTGTGCCGTGTTGTGTTGAATCGTTTGTAACAGTGTGTCTCGATACACCAGCATAGACGTACGGTGCCGCTGCTTTTGTTGCCCTTGCTGGGGTTTTTGTTTTAGGGGTTGCCGTTCTTCTGTAGTGCGCCGTCTGTCATTTTATCCTCCCTTTCCCGCGGGTTATTCGCTGCAAGGAGATCAGCTGTACATACAGGAGGCTTTCCACGGGGCCTCTGGAGGCCGCGGCTTCCGTGCTGCAGGGACAGAACAGCTGGTGCAGCGGCCCCCACCCCGAGAGGGCCAAGAAAGCATTCAGAAGCTCCTGCTTAGAAGTCGTCTGCCTGAACAGGTTATCGTTTGCCGCATTCCCAGGGGCAGGAAAAAGCATCTCGCAGCAGTCCTGCTACTGACTGCACCAGCGCCAGAAGCAGCAGCAGCAGCAGCAGCAGCAGCAGCAGCAGGTGGAGGCAGCGCTAGCCAAGGGGACAACGACGCACAAAGTATTGCACAGAGACTTAGCAGCAAACAACTCATTATCTTTTCGCATGGAAACAGCACTGATATCGGACACATGTTCGGACTGCACTATAGAATGTGTTTCAGGTGATTAGTAGACCCTAAAACCTACGCGGTGGTGTACGACCCTGAAACTGCTCTAAACCAGGCTTGGCTTTCCCTTGAGTCTCTGTGACTGTGTCACATTCATTTTAGTGCTGACATGGTCATCTGTAAAGCGAAGAAATACGTAATTATGGAGATTTAAATCAAATATCTAGATGCATAAATATAAAAGTAGCATAAATATAACAGTACAAAACATGCAGAATCTTACCCCGTTTTCCAACAAACAGCTGCAACTTGCACTTGCTTTTGCTTGCGCTTCTAAATTTCTTCGTTTTTGCAAGGTATTTGGAGTAGCTTTTCTTTGTATGTTCTTGTTCCGCAATTTCTAAATTGAGGGGTTTCTTAAGAGGGTGTGATTGCTTACTTTTGTACTTTTGTGCGCTTCAATTCAAGGTGCCAAGTGAACGTCTTGGCCTATGACTACTCGGGCTATGGTTGGAGCGACGGGAAGGCGACGGAGGCTGCGCTCTACGCGGACATTCGCCGTGTTGTTGCTTTCGCTGTCAACGAGCTCAAAGTGCCCCCCTACAAGATCATTCTAGTACCTCGAACCCTAAACCGTCAACTGTTAAACCCTAAGCTCTAGACAACTCCCCAAGAATACATTCGGAGGATTGTTTCATTTGCCGTCAGAGAGCTTAATGTGCCCTTCCACAGTCTCATTCCCGTGTCGGAATTCCCAAAGGTTGAGCTTTGACGCCATACAAACTCTTAAATGCCGAGCAAAACTGTTCCCCTAGAAGCTGGGCGCAGCTGCACATTTGGCCGTGTACGCCAGTGCGCATATATGCATCCTGTGTGCAGATTGAACCCTTCATTGCTGTTTGCTTGTTGAGCTTGCTTGCATGGCTTGATGCGTTTGTATACTCTTCTGTTTTCTGTCATGCGGCTCTGTCACTGTGGGGTTGTTTGTTTCTGTGCGCTTGTTTCCCTTCCGTTCGCCTGCCTACGTGTATATTTTGATCTTCCGCGTTTTGGCCCTCTCTTGTGTGTGGCTGAACAGTATGGACACAGCGTCGGTTCAGGGCCGAGCTGCGATTTCGTCTCCAAGAGAAAACAGAAACCCTTGGGTGGCATTATCCTTCATTCCTCGATTGCTTCAGGTATGAGCCCATCTGAAACACTTCAAGCCACCCATATGCGCTACATCGGGCTGTCCGCTGCAAAACACAGCAAGGGGTTCACGGTGCCGTATCGATGGATTTGGTTTAGGGATTTAAAGCCTAGGGATCAGCTACCTGGCTCTTTGGGTCTTTAGGTTTTGCTTGTTGGCGGTCTAAGCATTAACGGTTTGGAATACAGGCTCTAGGGCTTAGCGTTTGTTGTCTCTGGGTCCAAGGGTTGAGCTTTACAGTTCAGGGTGTGGGATGTAGGGTTTAGGGCTTGTTGCTTCCTCAAGGTCTGCGTCTCTTCATCAACAACATTGACAAGGCTCCTTGGTTCGATGCATTTCAAAATGCGGAGAAACTGAAGAAAGTTCACGACGTCCCGATGCTCCTCATCCACGGCCGCCTCGATAGACAGGTGATAGGAGCACACGAGCAGGGGCCTGCAGCAGGAGCGTCTGCACTTTTAGCAAGTTTATGAGACGCAACTGCGGTAGCAGCAGTTGTTACAGCTACGGCTTAGCTCAAGTCGCTACAGCAGCAGAGCAGCTGGGAGCAGGCTTATAATCGCAGCGAGACGAAGTGCAGGCTATGCATTGGTAACTATTCATGCTCCCCTGCTTTATGCACCAGCGGATGCCCCCCATGTGAGGTGTCAGTTGCAGGAACAGCAAATAGGCAGCAGCAGGAAGCTCTGAAACATGCTCTTGAGCTTGCTTCTGCATGCGCTTGCTTCTGGGAGTTCGCCTACGGGGGCCTTCAGGCCGCAGCAGCTTGAAAATGGTTGAATACAAGGAAATAAAGGGTGTGTTGTTTGTGGGTGTTTCTGCAGGTGCCTTTTTCGCACTCGCTGAAGCTGGAGGCATCCTGCCGGGAGGCAGACGCCCGCTTTGAGCAGCAGCAGCAGCAAGCTAGCCGCAGCCGGTGCTGGTTGGGGCCGTTCCTGCTGAGCCCCCGGTCAGAGCCTCCCGAAGAAAGAGCGGCAGAGCTGCAGAGGCATCGTGTGCAGACGTGGTGGGTGCCGGACGCAGACCACAACGACGTCGAGCACAAGGCAGGGGTAAGCAGCTGAGCTGTACATGCACATCACAACCAGAGTGGTCCCAGCATGTGCTATTCAATGATTAGAGTGTACTGCGATGCTTTCTTGGTTGTGCTTGCACGGATAGCCTGTCAGTGCTGTAAGATTTATCGCTTTTCGCAAAGGGTATAGGGTTCACGGTAGAGATTGGAAGGGTTGGTTAAGGGGTGAGGAGGCGCGGAAGGCTCAGGAGAGCGCTTATGTCTAGGATTTGCGGACGTGCAGGATGAGTACTACGCCCGCATATCTGCTTTTCTAGAGTTTTGCGCTAAGTGGCACGCAGAACGAGCAGCGAAATTCCCAAACACATGAGTCAAGATGACGCAATGCGTCCCGATAGTTCAAGGTTGAGGGTTAGGAGGTTGGAATTTGGCGGGCAGCATGCGTTCTCCGTCTAACGCCGGTCTTTGTTGTTTGGTTTTTCTCCAGTTTTTAGTGACTAATTAATTGCGCGCATTTGCTGCACCTCGGCGAGCGACCGTGGGGCGTCTGTGCTGTGGTGTATGTACACCGCATGGACGAATTCGTGGGCCCCCGGTGCATTATGAATAGACACAATTTGCAAATAGAAAACTCTGAATTCTGGACATCGAGGAACATACTTAGCGTTGTTCATCCGGAGCACGTATGTATTCTATCCAGCAAAAACTATTAGCGAAGGATGTCGGGAAAGGAGGAAGACCTTTTAGATCCGTATATTGCTCATTGCATGTATTACCATACGTAGCGACCAGGCCGAATGACACGCATAGGAAAGAGAACAAACAGAAGAGACCAATGGCTATAACGCGAGGGGGGCAACAGAATGAAGAAGGCAGCTGGACCTTATCGAGTCTGCCACTTGCTTTCACGCTATTCCCCATGCTTCTCAGGCCTGTGCCTCCAGGTCAAGCTGCAGGAATGCCTGGCAGGGTTCGACAGAAACATGTGGATGTACCGATGTTTTTCTCTATGTCTACGGTGGCTACGGAGAGGAACATAGTTCTGAGTAATCAACTCCAAATGTGTTGCTGCACAGCTAGGATAGGGGCATGGATTTTTAGAGTGATTTCCTTCATGGGAAGTGCTTCCAACAGAGGAGGAAGAAGCATGACAGGCGACAACACTAACCTTCTCTGGCGTCCCAGCCGCTGTGCTTGCGTGTTTGCGACAGCTGGAGATGGAGACATTACGGGATGCTTGGTGCTGTGCAGACGATTTCCCACTTAGGCCTCTCTGAGACTACTGCAAGTAGCGGCGACCTAGTGTAAAGCCCGTGACACTCCTGAGCACCGCATGCTGGGAGGGAGACGGAGTTGCGCGATCCCCAGTGCAAGCGGGTGGCCGGCCTGCCGGCCTTCCCTGGCGTACTGCTTATTTGTGAAGTCAGTTCGGTTACAAAGAATAGCGAGAAGCGTCTCTCGTGAACTACCGAACGTTGTCGTCAGTGGAGGAAAAAAAAAACGATATAAGCCGTATATTGACGTTTTGTGGCAACTCGCACAAATTCAACTTCTCAATTGCTAAACACAGTGAAAAATTTTCAAAATTTCAATACACAAATTCCTCGACATCATTAGCTGCCAGCCATTATTTCTTCATGGCCATGTAAGCAGGACCTCAAACTTTCTACGGAGCCCGCTTCGTGTGAGTCCTGCATGTGAGAAACTGGGGCTCGGTGGCATCATATTTCAATACATCTAAGAACCTCCCCTTCAAATATCCTTACTGTGAGACCCCTCGGGCACCAACTGGACCAAGCCTTCAAGACATTCGGCTTTCGTAGTTGCATCATGACGGATTGATAGCATATCTCAGTTGTTAGCTGCAGAGCCTTTGCACTGCAGTGAAGACCCCTCCACCCATTTTCCTTGAAGCACTGATTACAACAGCCTCCATAGATAGTGTATGCGTTCCTCTCTCGGGGGGGCTAGGAGTCGCACCCGTTCGTTTTAGTCCTATCACACGAACATCAGTGCTTTTGTCTGTTGAGTGCAATGTATCCGTTGAGCAGAATACTAACTGCGTAAAAAACTGTTGTACTTCCTCAACGCAAGGGGAAGAACAACAATTTTCGTCGAAGAGCCACTTAAATGTCATGAGCCAACCTGATGCAGGCTACATGCAGCGTGTTTGTTTGGACGTATCCTATAAGACTAATGTCAGCAGTAGGCACAAATACTTGTCATGAGGGTTCTTTAAATGCAACTGGAGTCGACTTCCAGTCCCTAGGCGTCCTATTCTCTGCTCATGAAAACTCTGGAATTGCATTAGAGGAGGCGACATGTCGTGAGGTGCACTGTACCTGGCTCCAACACAAAGGGGGACGGCAGTAGGCGGTCCCCTATCCAAGCACCGGCATTGGCTAGCACTGGCTGGATGTACATACGCCTTAGGCAGTTGCTGATAGATCTGGCCTGCCCACTGTTTGCCTATTCCAACCGAGTAAGACTTCGTATGCCCACTCCAGAGACGCTTAACATTGCTGCACAGACTGTGCTACATTCAGTTGCATATACCTGTTGAAGTGGCTACCAGTTGCCAGTCGTAGCACTTCTTGTCGTTGCTGGTGCTGCAGTCGAACACCCGAATGCTAGCATAACAATGCCACTACTGATGTTTGCTGTAGGACTGTAGTTAAATGCCTTCTGAGCTGGCAGCAGAAGGCATACCGATGACCACTTTAAGTAATTGGGAGTTCCGCCAGCTTAGATATACTACGTATACGTGACACGATGCGTATATTGCACAATACCGCTATATCTGCGTTTCTCCTTCTACGTCTTCTCACTGCTTTTCCCTTGCGCGTTACTCGCTCTCGCTCTACGGCTGGGAGAAGCGCTGGCGTGCATGCAGCCCCAGGAAAAGACCAGTCCATGAATTCCAATCTATATTTCCAGCTTTCCTTCTGTGGTTTAATCAAGTGAGTACGTGCTGCATTATTTCAAGTGCCCAAGAAGTCTTAGATGTACACAAATCCCACGCATGCACGCCCGCACGAGCCTCATCGATACCCCACAACGGGAGGTTATGACCTTCCGAGCACTTGTTTCAGTTTTGTTTTCTTCTAATTTCCTCTAATATTTTTTCATTTTAATTAAGTGTCCCGAAAAACAGCGAGAGGGGCAGAACCCTTCCAACTCGCGGCATTCGCTGCGCGCGAATGACCGCAGCGCACGGGAGCTTATAGGCCAGGGATTAGGGTTTGGGGTTTGAGTTTTTATGAAGATGTTTAGCTACAAGTTCAGCAATCTTCTAGGAGCGCCATACAGCTGCAGCCATGCACATGTGTCCTTCGACAGACGGGGCTCCTGCTTGTTTGTCCCCAGCAGTAACCGCGTGTGCCGCTACACCCTAGACTCCACGCCAACCGGTTCAGGCCCCATTCCCACACCGGGCGGGAGCGAAAGTAAGGGGCGAAACGCATTTGACGTACATGCGGCTTCATCTTCGGGATCTGACGAGGGTGGAGTTACAGCAGAGAGCAGCCGAGTCACAACTTACCCATTTGAGGCTCGCGTTGACATATCACATTTTTGTGTTCGTTCTGACGGCCTTCTAGCAATTTCTATTGATATTCATGGGCAAGGCCTCGTCATCAACCTTGCGAAAGGAACCATTCTGAATCGCATTCGGTTCAGAAGCAACACCTCCGCTGCGAAACTGAAGTGGAAGGCAGAGAAAAATCAACACTTTGTTGCAGCAGCAGCATTCTCTCCCGACGATGTCCTCTTTGCTATTGCATGCGGGCGGACCATTCAGGTGCTCTCTTTGGCTGCTTCTTTGCTACTAGACGCCTTTCTCAGTGCTTCTCGCTTTCCGTTCCGGTGTCACCCTCGCATTTTCTTTTTCAAATTCATCTCTGTTGCTGCTTTTGTCTTTAAGTTGTGAAATACTAATGGGGTGTGCTAGCTGAGCATTCAGTTGCGCGCTTACTTGATTTCTTTGTTTGTTTGTTTGTCTTCTCGCTGTGGTTGTCGCTCGTTGTGTTCTGTGTCTCTCGGAGTCGACATGTCTGTCTGTTCTCGTAAGCCCCCGCCTTTGTATGACTTTTGCTATGTACGTACACTGGACACTTGCGGTGCACAGAATGTGTTGTGTACGCCGCTTCTGCTACTGGAGTGTATGTAGAGTGCAGGTGGGGGTTTACGCCCAGTGCATCATTGTGTCCTCGTTTTGTGTGTTGGGGTGGTTGCACAGCTCTGGCACTCTCCGAGCGCGTGGACAAGATACCAGCTTCATTTGCTCCATTCTTTTACACTGCACCAGCAACCTATAACCTGTTTGTCTTGGAGTCCCGATTCTCTCCACCTGGTGTCAGGCTCACAAGACTGCACTGTGCGTCTATGGCGTGCCCGGGGCAAATGGGGTGAACGCCCACCTAGCGCGCCCTCTATCTCTGCTTCCCAAGAAAAACAGGAGACAGAAGGATCAGCACGAGCAGCAGAAGGAGCAACAGCTGAAGGAGGAGCACCAGGAGAGAGCAGCACCATACAAGACGCAGAGCAGGCGTACAGGGAGGCGGTGGATACTTCTTTTGTGCCTTCGGCCTTTTTGTCGCATCGCCACGAGTTGAAATTTGTCTGTTTTTCCACCTGCTTGACTCGCATTTACTCTGTAAATCGCGAAGGGTGTTTAATTGTTTGGGTGTGGCAGTCGCTGGCCGAGGCGGAAGAAGAAGCAGGAGAAGATTCAGCAGCTGCAGGAGGAACAGTGGGGAGAAACCCAGGTATCAAGAACGCTGCTCGCCCCATTAACCCTGATTTCTTTCAGCAGCGACGCGAGGCGCAGCGGCGAGGAGAGCAGCACTATCCCGCCGTTGTGGGGTGTACGAAGAACTTGGCTGTGCCTGCGGATGAGTTCATTGATTATTCCAGAGGCGTATGGAAGATGGAACAGAAAGCATACTGCAACCAGCAACCAGGCCAGCGGGTGTCGCATGCAGCGACGAATATATCTCCTTTTTACAAATATTCTGCTGAGACGAGCGGGGGACGTGGGGGCTCCAAGGCGCCTCCTCAGTATTTATTGGTGGGGTTTACAGGCGGGATGTTTCAGCTGTACACTCTGCCAGACCTGGGTGCAATCGTGAAGTTGTCGTTGGGGGTTTCTTCTCTAGACAGTGTTAGTTTGTCCTACGATGGGGAATGGGTTGCAGCAGCAGCAGCGGAAAACAACACACTGGTGGTGTGGGAGTGGCGCAGCGAGACCTATGTGCTACGGCAGCAGAACCCACGACATGGCTTGCGCTGTGTTGTCTTCTCTCCGGCAGCCGATGCTTCTGGAGCGGGAACGTATAGAGTAGGGGGCCGTGTGGGCACAGGAGGTGTTGCGCAGCAGCGGCTGGGGGGAGGGGCCTCAGGGCTTGGAGGGGGCACCCCGGGGGCACCCCAAACCCTGGGCCTCGGCACAAGCCGGGGGTTGGTGGGCACAGGCAGCATAGACGGGCTTGTGAAGCTGTGGGACGCAGAGAGCGGATTCTGCCTCGCTACATTCGCTGCACATGCAGCTGCTGTCTCTGCATTGTGCTTTTCTCCTACTGGAAATGCTGTCTTCTCCGCGTCGCTTGATGGCACTGTTCGTGCGTTCGATATTCTCCGACTCAAACCTTTTCGGTGAGGCATACTGCATATATATATATATATATATATATATATATA